TTGATAGTTGAATCTTGAATTTTATTGGTCCGTTTGCAAAAACCCTGGAGAATCTTTCGTTTTCAGAATCGTTGCAGTTGGGCATCTTCTTCCAAGTGCCCTAGTTCGAGAAGTCGCACTGTAACAGGGAGAAGCTTTCTTTAAAAAAGCTTTTTGCCCACAGTACCAAGTAGAGTTTTCTCTTTGAAAACGATTAATAGCATCGGAAGCAAACAATCTTAAATGCACTAAATGACAACAACGGTTAACGAAAACAGCAGAAAGAGAGGGAGAGGGGAGGGGAGTTCCTTCGCTCTCACCTCTACCCCTACCCCAACCCCTCGCTGATTTTTTTTCCTCTTCACATCTCTTTGCGCTGTCCCACAATCTGATCGTCGGGAACAGGTTTCTTTTCATCGTACGGTTTGGATCCGTTAAGGACCCGCGCAGTGTTTGCACGGTCATTTTATATCCCTCCTGCTTCCTTTTCTTTCACGAGCCGCCATGAACCCATAGTCATTACTGAAATCCGATAATTTTGAGGCTCTTTGATCCGCTCTCAAAACTTCGTTGCACTCGAGCAAGCGCAGTGTAAACTAATTTTCATTAAAGATGATAAGCCTGAATATATACCTACGTACCGTAAGGAGCATTTCGCATGCTCGTTTAAAGGATGCATTGTTTCTTTTTTTAATTTGTACCGAAAGCCTATTTCTGTGTAAGCATTTTTTGGCAAACTTCCCATTGAACAATGAGGTACAAGTATCAGCCGCGCTCATTTTAACGACCCAATTGAATTTTTTTCTCCGAGTAAGAAAGGGCAAATGGTTTGATGTTTACGCGTCTCTTCAACACTACAGTACAATGTAGTATCCTTTTACAGCAAAACGCAACTGCTAACATTAAACAAATAGCAAGACCAACAGACTGTACAACTTGGTCCTTCAAAAAATTCTACATTGGAGAAAAAGCAAACATCACTTGATAAAGATTCCACCGATGGAATCGGAAGCTTGTGTTTAATAAGTTCTTCTATCCTTGAAATT